GAATTCTGCAGGAAGTGTATTCTGGCTACTGCAGGAAGATTCAGTTGTTTGAAAATGCAGTAGAAATCAAGGTTGCTACTGGAGCTGTTCAAGGAAATGCCATTTCGAGTCAGTGATTCGTAAAATGAAATAGGGTGAAGAATTTTCAATCAACAGCAGATGGAAGACTCATCTTCGGTTTGCTGACGACGTCTTGTGTTGGCCACTAGGGCATGAGGGATTGAAGCCCTGCAATGTGAGCGAGAGTTAAGGAACAGGCAAGTTGGTTTTCCGATAAATAGAGCGAAGAAGGTGATGAGAAACCGATTCCCAGAGTCATTATCAATGTTGGTCTTCATGGTCCATCATCAGAAGCGGACAGTGAGCTGAAACGATTGTGAATTTTAAGCAGCAGTATAAAATGTCTGTGTTAAGCAGAACGGCAAGTTAGATTGAAACTAACCTATAATAAGCGTCATTAATATTTCCAACGAACTCGAGTAACTGTTGCTTACTCTCTTTCTTGAGCGGAAATTTAATAACGTTTTCACCTCCATGGACAATTGAAAAATCAGTTGCCTCCTCATGCTCCTGATTTTACTTATGACGTGGCTCTCGATTTTTAAGTATTCAACATACTTTTCGTGGAATACATTAGTAAGTTCTCCAATCCGCCCGTTCTGTTCATTTTCAGTTACTCTTTTCTTTTGATCATTCTTATAGTATAATACTTAATCAAAATTTGCTCACTCGGTCATGTTGGTTGGTTCATGTCCTGGTTGGATGGTACTTCTTTCCTAGATAGATAAATGAGTACCACTCTGTAGGAAGGAAGGAGAAGGCTACACACGATGCTTACAGCACAACTGATTTGAAGTCTGCCTTTAGAATAAAGCATTCCTGACCCTCCTAGATGATGGCATGTAAATGGAGATATCAGTGCTCTACCACTAATTTCATACAGAAGGCACTAGATGTTGCCTGATGATGAAAGTGTAAGACAGACCGACATTCCATTATCACAGCTTATTTGGACATACACTAATACCAAGGTTTTGGCCAATATCTTACAAGCCTACTTCAAGGTGGTAGGTTGCTGTATCGTGGGTGGCGAATTGGTCGTCTACAATAAGTGGCGGTGTAAGGCTCAAAACCGCCTCCATTAGGAAACCGTTTTCGTGCTGCATTTACGTATGATTTGGTAGTACATACAAAACATTGAGTGCTTGATTACTTATTCTCTTACACACCTGTCTTACTTAACGATTAACATCGGTCAGTCAGTTTCGACTGTCGTTTACTATTTCGGGTCGCTTAGGCAGACACGTCAAACAGTGTTTCCAACATCTCTGATCCTCAGCCAGCGTCTGAGCTTAGGCAGTTTTTTCTTGCATTTGCTTCAAATTATTCTTGGGCGTTCCGGGGTCTTCGACCGGTCGGCTTGGCAGTCGGTACCCATTATATCATGTCAGATAATGATCCACATACATCAGTCTATTCATGAACAGTTACCTGATTTGATTGTTGTATGCCATTGGTTTAGGTGCATTCTTACGATGAATATCTGCTGCCAAAATCGAGCTTATCTGACTACGTGTATTTGCATGATTGTGTAAAGTTTGGCAAGGATGCCGAATTCCGGCTTGCTGGTATTCCAACGGTGAGCATATGGCTTTATTTTCATGTCGTTGTTTATATGATTTGCGTTTAGCAGTTAAGTCCCGATCTTGGTCCGGTGGTCGAAAGCTGTTTTACTTCCTGCCTATCTGTGCGACAGAGTTTGGAAGTAGTTTTACAGACGATTTACAACGAGATCGAAAAGTTGTTTGAAAATTTTAAGCTGAGAGGTAGTAATTTTAATTTGTAATTTTGTTTTACCTGTTCATGTTAATGTTGTGTTAGCCAAAAAAGTTTAAAAGGAACGGTGTTTGTTGTACGCCTTACGATTATTGAAGACCTTGACTTGCTTCGTTTTGTAGAACAGGCGAGAATTATGTGCAGTCTATAGTGACAAACTTGTTAGGCTACCTCACTTTTTTTAATTCTTCATTGGCTGACATTTTCGTTTGTAAAGCAGTGCCTCAATGACATTGCTAGTTGAGTTTTGGATCTCATGAAATCTTCAGTCCAGAATATCCTGGAGTCTGGGTTCTTCCTTCTGTTGTCTTCAGGTACCTCGGTTTAGGGTTTTCTGGCATCCTTTCTTCATCTTGGGCTTTTCCACCTTACACTGACGTGCGTATTCATATCTTTCCATTGCCCTTTCGCATTGCACACTTCCGTTTTAAGATCACTGTACCATCGTTGACAAGGATACAGTTGATGTTTACTAGCTGCCGCATGGGAAGAAAAGGCGGAGTCTGTAGTACACTTTTTCAGCGAGCCTCCATGTTTGACGTCGAAAGGAACGATGTGGTGTGACAACGTTTAGACTTAACGAACAACGTGACAAATGGTTCCATTAAATAACGAAAACTGTTCTACGTGAATAGATCGGTTCTAATGTCTTTACTCGTAGTCATGAGCGTTCTTAATGATAAACGATTTGGTAATTTTCAGTTGCTCAAGGTCTTCTAAAACAGGTGGTTTATCTGGTGCTGAAAGACTGCCATTTTTAACGTTAGCTTCATAGAGGCTCGTGACACAAGGGCTAAAGCACCAAGAACGGTCTGTGAAGCTAGAGACGACAATTTTGCTTTTTATAATTGTAACTGTTCAGTAGCATATGGTAAAAACGCTGTTTTAGTTTTCGACGCCTCGCTCAACGAACAGCATGTGCATGTTTTACATTTACTTTTAAACTTTATACTGATTGTTAGTTATGAGGTGAGGGAGGGGGAATTGCAATACTAAAACGTCCGCATCAAACTGCATGGCCGTATGTCGAGCACGCTTTATCATCATCGCACCAAAACGTGATGCTGACCCTATGATTCGCAGGTCAGCGATTTGCTTGTGTTTTTAAGCACAGGGGGGTGAATTCTCTGCTTAAGAAATTAGCGGCTTATGAGAGGAAATTCCTACCACGCGGTGCGTTTGAAAGTGGCTTTGTAACGGGCAAACCAACTTACTGACCTAATGCGTCGCTGACCCTAGCATGAATCTAAGTACCAATAGCAGACAAATATGTACATCAGAACAAATACACGACGATATTCGTTCACGTTCTTCGCAGGCTGAATAATTGTTGCTTCACCTGCTGTAAGTCAATTAACTGCGAAAGCTCTATATGTCTCTTCTCGAATTTTCACTTGTTCGAGGACCTTCCGGAATGCGACTGAAAATGATACGGGGGAAGACTTTGAAGATTTGCGACGGCATTTTAATTGGTCGATAGTTTGTCAACTCTTTTGAGTCGCCTTTCATCACGAGAAGACTCGTTTTTGATGCCTTTTGGGTTTTAGACGTCTTGTTTTGCCTGGTGAATTGCGTAAAACTTTGGGCAATCGTTTTACATAGGGTTGTTCCTCCTGCTTAGGGGTATCCTGAACATATGCTATTTTTGATTTTCCTGAACATATGCCATTTCTGATTGCCCATTCAACTTCGTCCTAGGTGACTGACGGCTGCTGGGGTAACGCGTGGCAGGTAACTTCTGATTTGCGTCTACTTTTACAGAGTACAGGTTGTCGTAGAAGTTTTTGCCGATGGGCATTCGATATAGACCAGTAGTTTTTGCTCATCCTTTTTCTTTCTGCACACTCGGAAACGGTTGTTCTATGGAAATGTAGCATTCGACAGATTTCACCTATTTCTGCTTCTCCCAGGCTTCTTTAGTCTTCCCTAATCTTCTTCCATATTTATTTTCAAAATGCGGTATACAAATT